AGCTCATCGAGCAGGAAGACTACAGAATTGCTAATGGGACAACCATCTGAAATTATATAAATTATTATTTGTCACTGATCTCTGCCTTTGGAGAGTTTGGTCACTTTCACCCCTTACTAAATCTTGGCTTCACTGTGCAAGTGAACATGACTAAGAAACACCTGTGCCACTCTGGTCACAAGGGGAAGACAAAAAGTTCTCAGTGGGGACAGGGTTCACTATTCCAGGATTCAGTCTTTTAAACATCTAAGTAAAGGGGCACCTGGGTGGCTCAGTCGATTAAGCATCCGACTCTTGATTTTTGACTCAGGTCAGAATCTCATGGTTTGTGAGTTCCAGCCACGCACGCTGCATTGATTGTGGAGAGCCTGCTTAAGATTCTCTGTCTCCTTCTCTCTCTGCCCCTCCCCCACTCGCAATCTCTATCTCTCTGTCTGTCTGTCTCTCTCACACACACAGTCTCATACATATTTCTGCTAAAATACATATTTTCTATCTTGTGCTTACATTGCTATTTTATTCCCAAATTCAGCTTTTAACATCTACCACTATTCAAATGACCTCTATTAAAGCTTCACACCATTTCATTCCGGCATATACAATCTTCATGCATCTTGAATCTAGGAATAACATCAATACATGCTTTGATTATTTTTGTTACTCTGTTGTCATTAGAGCCTGTATGGAGAGGAAATTGGGGACAGAGATGTGCCTTCTCTGAGATAGCTCTACACTCACTTTGCATTGCTGCATTATACAGCCCTAAGACATGGCAGTCCAAAAGAGATTCAGCATTGTCGATTTTCAGAGAGTTTTATGTAAATATCATATAGCTCTTACTGTGGAACAGATGAGTCACACTGCCTCCTGCACTATTGAATCTAAAGATGTAGGAAATTCTGTGTGTCCTTCTACTCCTTTTGGCTATATGATAATTTAGACAAGTCTTCAGTGAGGTAGATCTAAGGAGAGGTGAAAGGAGACCAATTCCATGATTCTCTATTATCTAGATAAGCAATGACTAAATTCTAATCCAATGATTCATCTAATTCTAATTTAGTGATTACATTTATTCAGGTAATATGTATTGAGTTCTAGCATTAAATAAGTGCTTTGATACATGCTAGAGACACAAAGATGAAAAAGCTGTGGAGATAGAGAAAAAAATAAATTTCCTTCAAAATGATAACTCATAACATGAGATAATCCCATAAATGGCAACTACAATTTAGTATATTACCTCCTATAGGTAGAACAACATGCTAAGCATGCAAAGGAAACAATGTAAACAATGTGCTAAGGAATAATGAAGAAGACTCTACATAGATAAAAATATTCATTTGTTCATACAACAGATATTAATAAGTGCCTACCTATTATAAGCCAGGCTCTATTCTAGCTTCTGAGTTTATAGTAGAGAACGAGACAGACAAAATCACTCTCTCAGACAGCTTATACATTCTGTAGGGGGAGACAGACACTAAACAAATTTCAAATGGTAATAAATACTATAGTAAAATAAAGGTGTCAGGGTGTCTAGGTAGGAAGGAAAGTTACTTGTATTAGGCATCATCTGAGCAGAGAACAGAATTACAAACAGAAGTCAGCAATGCAGGGGCGCCTGGGTGGCTTAGTCAGTTGAGTGTCCAACTTCGGCTCAGGTCATGATCTCACAGCTCGTGAGTTTGAGCCCTGCTTCAAGATCTATGCTGACAGCTTGGAGCCTGGAGCCTGCTTCAGATTCTGTGTCTCCCTCTCTCTGTGCCTCCCCTGCTCATGCGCTCTCTCTCTCTCTTTCTGTCTCTCTCTCTCTCTAAGATAAATAAACATTAAAAAATTAAAAAAAAAAAAAGAAGTCAGCAACGCAGAAAACAAAGAACCAACAATCAAATCAAAGGGCAAGGTCCTTGGGAGTGTACAAGCTGAAAAATCTTTTGAGCTGAAAAGTGAGTATGTCTAAAGCATGATCAACAAGGGGGATAAAGGTACAAAATACAATCAAAAAGGTTGATGAGGATCAAATCACAAAGAGAATAATAGCAAGGAGTTTGTCTACTATTCTAAGTACGATGGAAAGTTCTTGGAGAGTTTTAAGCAAGAAAGTAACACTCTTGATTTGCACGTTTAAAATTTCTTTTAAGCTGATTTAAAAGGATGATTGCTATGTGGACGCAGATTGTGAGACAAAGCAAGAGGAAAGAGGGAGACTAATTGCAATAGTCTTGACACTCAGGGTCTCATGAAAGTCAGGAGACTGTTTGTGGGGAGTCTGATTCTGTGGACCATCAAGATCAAGTATAAGAGGAAGATAAAGATCTTTCCATAAACACACAGGACACAGCTCTAGAGACTCAGCCCGGACACAGATGATCATCATCTGGGTACAGGGCAAGCAGACATCAAAGATTCAGTTTTGTGTATCCCATCAGGTCAGGGAGAGTGAAGGACAAGCAGAAGATTCAGAGACAGCATCAGCACTAACTCATGGATGGTCCGGATATAGACATTTGAAATATGTGTCCAGCACAGAGGAAGACAAGGAGATAGGACCATACAGTCTGAATTGCAATGGGGTCAGAGAGCCACTCATGGACAGTCAGGATTCAACCTAACAAGAAGGCAAGCCTCCCACTAGGAGCAGGCAGGAAAATATAATAGATATTCAGGATCTCATCATGACCAGACACCCACTAATGGAGTTTGGGTCTACCCATGAGGAATTTAGGTCTGGCACAACAGAAGACGTGTGTCAAGCCACCAACAATCAGAAAATAGATCCAGACATGCAAGTCAGCTTACAGACAAATTTCATCTACACAGCTTTATCCTAGTAAAAATAGATACTGTAGATATAGTTATTGTCAGTTTAGAGGTAGTGATGAAGACTCAAATAGAGAGTTAATATCAACCTATGGACAGTATGAGGAGGGCCATGGACAACTGGAACTCAATAAGATAAGCCAAAAAGGACCCATCCATGAATATTCTGAAGACAATGCAAGAAATTCAGGGTCTAATCATAAATGGACAACGTCAATCCATAAGTAGTCGGAATCCAGGAAGTTCTCTAGAGGAACAAATCAGTCATAATAATAATCAGGCAAGAAACAGCACATTTAGAAGCCAAACAAGTCAAACGCAAGATTAATTTCGGCCTAATAATATATACACAGTAGTGTAAATAAAAGCAAGGATTGGTTTATAGCTAAAAACACATCAACTACAAAATCATAGGATAGGACTATGGATAATATGAAAACAACAGAAACTCAGCCTTGATTCCAGTCCACTGAAATCTGGGAATAGAAGTACAAACAAGCTTAGTCTTGAACAGTCAGGGTATACCTCTGATCATTCAAGGTCTGGAGCAAAGATTTAACTTTGGATACTCGAGGATAAGCTATAAATTTAATTTGACACCAATGGTCAGTGTAGATCTAACATAGGTGGAAGACCACCAACTACTTAGAGCCAGTCCCCTGAATGACACATAATCCTGTCATTTTTTTAATCTACATCTACTTCCCCTCATGGTCCATCATACATTTCCACTAGAAAACAAGCACCCAGCAATGGACATTCTAGTGACTGTGAAATTCAGTCAGGATATTCAAATAGAAAGCACTTATCAACAAGTGGACAGATGACTTCTGGCCATAAAGGACCAGGACTCAACTCGATGACACTGGAAGATACAAACATAGTAATACCCACTTAAGTGAGCTATATCCACAGTCAGCTCAATTCTAGTAAATAGAAAGCAGCATCATAATGTCCAGTTCTCCAGGTGATCTTGGTATGAACAGAGGGCAATCAAGTTCACAAAAGCTCGGGTCTCCAGTTCTTACCTATCTGGTAACAGCAAAGGCCCAAAAAGAATAGGAGAGTAGAACTATTACTAGTCATTTAGTACCAAAACCAAGGGGCTTAATGTAAGGCATAGACAGGAATCTTACCATAGTCAGCTGAGGGACAGTGGAAAGTACAGACAGGATGAGGATATTTATCAAAATGGCAGCTCTGAGACAACAGGTAACAATGAAAGCAAGCAAAAAAACAAGGTGTTACTATATTTTGTACCAACACTCTACCCTATAAATAGAACAAAGGGAACATTATCTTAAGTAAGACACCAGCAGAAGAGGAACTAAGCAAAGACATGAGAAGAAAAATATAAAGTACAGGAATTTATTGTAAAAACTCCTTTTTGAGGACAGAGTTATGTCTCTCCCCTTTTCTTTAAAAATGTAAATTATTTGGGGCACCCGGGTGGCTCAGTCAGTTAAGTGGCCAACTCTTGATTTAGGCTCAGGTAATGATCTCGTGGGTTTGTGAATTCAAGCCCCGTATTGGGATCCACACTGGCAGTGTGGAGCCTGCTTGGGAGTCTCTCTCTCTCTCTCTCTCTCTCTCTCTCTCTCTCTCTCTCTCTCTCCCCCCCGTCTCTCTGCCTCTCTCTCTCTGCCTCTCTCTTTCTCTATCTCTCTCTTTCTCTCCCTCTCTCAATAAATAAACTTTAAAAAATCCTTTAAAAATGTAAATCTAATCCTTCTTAATATTAACCTTCTTTTGAAGGATAATGTATATGTCTTCCTCAGCATGTTAGCAGTATAAGTTTAAATTTTATAATTTTATAATATTATAAATTTTATATTTATATTATATAATTTTATAATATTATAAAAAATTTTGTTACATGGAGTTCATTAGAGTGTTAAGTGTGAGAGTTCAACATTTCTGCAAATTCCTATATTATACATGATCCTTTAAGGAGATGTATTAGGTGTTACAGCATCATCACATCACTGTGACTGCAATTCCTTTGAGTTTACAGATCGAACTTCCAAGCTTCTGGTTTCAGACTATGCAAATGCAAAAAAAATGGCCAATAAAAATTTATGAACAATATGTCTTGCTTCTTTCATGCTCCACTACTCGACTTAATAAGTGGGAAGGCTAGAAACTGACCCAAACATGCAGAGAAATTAATGATGGAGCTCTGGAGAGCAAAAACATTTAAGCACTGGCCAAGGAAGAGGAGCCCTCAAGAAAGACTGAAAGAGGTGCAATAATCAGATTGTAAAGTGTTGACAAGTAAATGGAAGGTGAGGGACAGGGAGCGCTATGGAGTTAGGCTATGAAGAGGTAGAAAAATCTGATGGGAATAAATTAGATGAGAAATCATCATCACTCCCCTCATCTCAAGCCTCCTCTTTCTCCTTGATTGCTTTTCCTAGTGCGTACACCACCATACACACAGTCATCCAAGCCAGACCCCTGATTACGTCCATTCCCTTGCCTCTCACCTGATTGATCTTCTTTGTTCTACCTCAGCTCCCCACGGTCAAGCATCATCACAGCAGTGAGTCAGGTCATGTCTCTCCTCTGCTCAAACCCCTGCATAATAAATAAGCCAACCATACAGTATGTTATGAGCATGTGCCAAACGGAGTGGTCAAGGCAGGCCTTATTAGAAGGCAACACTTGAGCAAGCACTTGAAGGAAATAAAGGATAAAACCAAGTGGATATTCGGGGTGAAAGCATTCCTAATGGCAATCCTAAGGAAAGAGAATGCCTGGGAGGTTTTAGAGAATAGCAAGGAAGCAGTATGGCTTCATCCGAGTCCATGAGGAAAGAGAGCTGGAGGAATGTCAGAGAAGAAAAAGGGGCCTGATCAGTGTCATACTCATCACATTCACACTAAAGTATGCCTCCCTCTTGAAAAAGAGAGAGGGACAGAGAGAGAAACCAGGAAATAGGTGATGAATGTAAGCATGCAAAGCACTGTGCTTGGCATAAAGGGGACCATAATTTTCTTTCTTCTGCCAAAATGTGGAGGCATAAAGAACAGACTGATGGTTACCAGAAGGGAGGTGGACGGGGAGACAGGGAAAATAGGTGATGAGGATCAAGAGTGCACCTGTCATGAAGAGCAGAGGGTGTTGTACAGAAGTGTTGAATCACTATATTGTACGCCTGAAACTAATATAACACTGTTCACTAACTTGAATTTGAATAAAAATTTTAAAAAATATATCCTTCCCTCTCCCTCTGTCTGTCTCTCACACTCACTCACTCTCTCACACACACACACACACACACTCTCCCTCTCTCTCACACACACACACACACACACACACACACACACACACACGCACACACAGGCAAAGGCTCTGGATCTGACTCCCAACACCCAAGGGCTCTCTATCTATGTCTTGGCTCTTCCCTTCCCATACCTGAAGCTCAGATGTACCCCCATCCCCAATGTCCCCCATGCTAGCAGGTGTTTTGTGTCACCTACATGTACCACTTGGAGAGTCCCCAAGGAGCACTTTCCATCACTCTCCCCCATCTGCCTACTATGATCAACCAAGCCTGCATGCAGAAAGCCTCAGGTAGGCAGCAACAAGGGATACAGGCTATGAATGGTCATGCCAATAATAGCATCAGACAGAAAGTTAAGGAGATAAACACACACTAGAGAAAGGTATTGACAGAATAAATAAGGGGGTGCAAGTAAGAATGAGCTCTGGATTCCCAGCATCTGGAGCATCTTCTGGAACTTGGAGGAGAAAAGGGAAAATACCAACAGGAGAGAGAAACAGCTGAAGAGGAAGACCAATACTCAAGCAGGCTATGTTCCAGGGCCTTCGGGCTGGAGCTGTAAGATGGATCACTGTGCTGGCCCCACTCCCTAGAGAACAGATGCTAAGCTATAAGATTATATCACATTTATTTTTGACTTTTTGAGATAAGAGGGAAATGACTCTTGTACCTAGAAAGAACACCTATTGACAAGTATTAATTTATAGCCAACTTCTTTTGACTCCCCTTAACCCAAACTCATGAGCATCAGTATTCTCTGCTTGTTATGTCCCTGGTTTTTGCATAGTCTCCTCCTTCATAAACACTAAGCTATTAAGAATCACCAGGAATTGCATAGGGGATGTGATCGGAGAGGAAAGAAAGGGCAGGGAGGAAAAGACCTTCTGCAGAACTTTCCTAAGACCCAGCAGATGGTGCTATAAGAACACTGCCTTAGGGACAAGGGCAGTGAGAGTGCACTGGGATGGGAAGAGAACTCCACCTGCTGATCTTCACCAGTTTTATCTGTTTGTTGATTGGTTGGTTGTTATGGGTTTGTTTGTTTGTTTGTTTGTTTGTTTGTTTTAGGTCAAACACTCCGTTCCTCAGGAGATGCCTCCAAACCCTTCCTTTTCTAAGACACAAATAGTCCCCTACTCCCTGGCTATTCCTAGGAAGAAGCAGATTTGAGTTTGAATCCTGTCTTCTCCACTTAATAGCTAAGTGACTTAAAACAAGTTAGATATCTTCTCTGAGCCTGTTTTATCATCTGCAAAATGGAGGTAATAATACCTACATCATATACTTGTTGTGGGGATTAATAAAATGATGAATGTAAGCATGCAAAGCACTGTGCTTGGTATAAAGGGGACCATAATTCTCTTCCTTCTGCCAAAATGTGGAGGTACTGAAAAACCTAAAACATGACACATACCATAAGAAACCTCTTCTCCTGGGGCGCCTGGGTGGCGAAGTCGGTTAAGCGTCCGACTTCAGCCAGGTCACGATCTCGCGGTCCGGGAGTTCGAGCCCCGCGTCAGGCTCTGGGCTGATGGCTTGGAGCCTGGAGCCTGTTTCCGATTCTGTGTCTCCCTCTCTCTCTGCCCCTCCCCCGTTCATGCTCTGTCTCTCTCTGTCCCAAAAATAAATAAAAAATGTTGAAAAAAAAAATTAAAAAAAAAAAAAAAAGAAACCTCTTCTCCTGAACCCTGTCATCTCCAAAGGGAAAACCGTGAACCAAATTCATGAGGGGAAATCTTCATGCCCACCCTTTCACTGTGGAGCACATGCTCTGGTAAAATCATGACTCTCTGTGTGGGAAAGGATGTTTGTGATAATCTAGTCCAACTCTTACATTAGTAATGCTCAAAAGGGAGCAAAGAGGCCAAAATGCACATTCAATATGCCTCTTGTTTTCATCACACGAACCAGGAAATAAAGCTCAACACAACTCTGGTTGGTGATGTCGGAGGGTATTCAGAATATATAGCCCCAAAAGGACTAAAACTGCTTATATGATACATGACAATTCCTTTAATGCCCCTAGCAATGAATTAAGTTACATTGCAAAAAGCTCATTGCACTTTTAGTCAATGCAGATGTTAAAATTTTCTTCCTTACATCAAGTCAAAAGGTACCTCCCTTTTATTAGTACCCAATGGTGCCCTGTTCTGGTCCCTTTCCCTACCACCACACACGCTGACATTCACAAACAGACATGCACACTTTTCTCACTCAAGGGAACTCGTGGTTCTGATGTCCCACCCTTCCCAGCCCTCTTCTTCACTCTGAGACTCCTCTCCTGGGGAATCTTCCTGACAAGCAAATATAAACGAGGGTCAGGAATGCCATATGCAGTGTGTCACCAACTTTTTGTATGGGCCACAAGCTAAAAATGTTTTCTACATTTTTAAGTGGCTGGAAAAAATTGTGACCTGTGAAATTATGAAATTTAAATTGTCAAAAAGTCAGTGTCAATAAATAAGTTTTACTAAACACAGGCATGCTCATTCATTTAAATATCATCTGTGGATGCTTTCATACTACCAGAGCACAGCTGGGTAGCTGCAAAAGACTGTCTGGCCCACACAGCCTAAAATATATACTATCTGGCTCTTTACGGGAAAAGTTTGCTGACCCCTCATTTAGGAGAACACTGGCACTGAAAGCATGATTCACCTGGATTAGTCTCCACCAGCAACCCCCTCGTCCCTCTGTGGCAAACACTGGCTCCTGCAGAAAATTAGTCTTCACTCAGCAAACTCCACCTCCCCTGCACCCCCACAGTCTTAGTCACACCTGCAAAAGGCTCACTCCTCTGATGGAATCATGACAACGTGGCCCAAATCAGGCATCCAGAAGAAACGCGGCCACAGCATGGATCCTGACCGTGCAGCCCTCTGGGTAGCTCCTAGAAGAAAACACAGAGCATCATAATGGTTGAATTTGGAATCACATAATTTATCATTTACCAACAGTTGCTACCACTCCTCCCCAAATCCTGATGATTGTATTGCATAAGTTTTAAGTCCATGTGACTTCACCCAGCTTCAGTGACATCCATGTCATACGCATAGTTCAGAAAGGATGAAATGCAGAGCAAGGTCGCAGGGATAAGCAGAAGGCATGTGTTGATTCCCAATCCTAGGACTCAGTTTAAATTTTTTTTAAGGTTTATTTTTGAGACAATATGAAAGACAGAGTGCAAACAGCGGAGGGGCAGAGAGAGGGAGACATAGAATCTGAAGCAGGGTCCAGGCTCTGAGCTGTCAGCCCAGAGCTGGATGAGGGGCTTGAACTCATGAACCGTGAGATCATGACCTGCGCCGAAGTCAGACGCCCAACCGACTGAGCCACTCAGGCGCCCTGGGACTCAGTTTATATTTAGGTGAAATCATGTCCTCTGAGGTGAAGATAGCAAGAGAGAGGGCAGCCCCCAATCCTGTGAAAAAGTGGAAGTTGATCAATGCAGAGCACTACAGTCATGACCCTCATTCCTCTTTCAATTCAATTCGACAAACATTTACTGGGGACTTCTTTGTGCCAAGAAATGTGCTGAGTCTCCAGGTGACACAGGTGATAATAATGCCCATCCCCTGATCTCAAGGAGCTCATAGTCTAGAAGTGATATAAACACATACATCAGGGTATGTGTCTGTGTGTGTACACACACATGCATACATCAGAAAGAATATACACCAAATAATTAACAGTAGCTATTTCTGGGATACCTTGCTAAAGAGCATGGATTTCTTCCTAAGGTTAACAGTAGTTAAAATGAAAGCTATATTGAGAATGGCCACTAAGGTCTGGTAAATAGGGTTAGGTAAAGAGACAAGAAGGCCTGTGCAGTCATTATTGATTCAAGAGGAATGGTTATATCATGGGTAATAATATCCTGGATGATACTCTGGTTGGAAATCCATATAAGAAAATTCAGTTCAAAATGGGAGTTTGACTGGATGATCCTTAAGGTTCCTTTGAAACATCAGGTCCCATGATTGTTGGACATTCAGTCCGTGATGTCCCTGCACACATTCCATTCACTCCAATTAAAGTCCACATAATTGGCTATCGATGCATTATGCTAGATACTTTGTTGAATACACAAAGGTCTTTCTGCATCGCCCAGAGACTCTGGCAGGTGGGGCTGATACTAGCCCAGATTTGGGAACTGCTAGTGCAATCACAGGTGAGCATGTAAGGAAGTAAGAGGGCAATCACCAGGAAGGTGGAGATGGAGGCGGAGGTGGAGCTGGGCTTATTTGTGGTGAATCAGGACATCTCAGGACAGCTCCTCCCTAAGATGGACCATTATCCCCTCTATAAAAAGGCCACTATCCCCAATTAGCAGCACCCTGTAAGCCATTCCAGTCTCCATCCGACTTGTTCCTCTGGTGAACTAGGTAAGTGAACAGGAGTACTTTGGGCCATAAATCCAGTATGTGCTCTAAGACAAAGAGGCACTGGACACCAGCCTTCTTTCTAATGTACATTGGGGACTTTGATATAATTTTAACTTTACTGAGAAGGAAAATGAAGAGATGACTGGGAATTATAGCACCTTCTTTCTTCAGGGTCATTTCCTTAAAGATCATGGGGCTTAATTATCCACTAGACAGGTTGCTCCTGGACTACTGAGATTTTCCTCTCTGCTATATAATCAGCAAAGCCTGAGGGTCGGTCCCTGTTTGGAGAATGAAAACAGAAGTGGGCCCAATAGCAGCTGCCCCCAGCTCTTTACCACCTAGGCCTGTGGTTGCTCACCTTATCTACTTCCTCTGACCTACAAGTCTTGAGGGTCTATCTTAGTCACTGGTGTCCCTTGGGTGGAATCAGGCATGCTATGTGGATGAAGGACCTGTCCCTCCATAGTGGTGGCTGGCACATAGAGAGGAATTGAGGAAGTAGGTGGATCGGCACACCCAGGATTTCTATAGCTCCACAGCAATGTTCATAAAACTATCCTTGGTAGAAGCAGGAAGCTCAAAACAGAAAGCCATTACTCCTACATTCATTCAGGAATGAAAATAAGAGATACATATTCTGTTCCTAATTTCATCACTCTCTTGCTACATGGCTTGAACAAGTCTGTCAACTCTGGATTGGTTCTTGATTTCAACAGGATAAAATTAATCATGCCCAATTAATTCTGAACAAATACTACAAATGATTGTAACTATTTATGTATTTAAGCAAGAAAAAGGAGTAATAAGAGGTGGGTCTCTCTCCTTTTTTTTTCCTTTAGGTTAAATTTACAAAAAGATGCCTAAACTCCTACATGGCATTGTCACTGTCATTGATCTTTTCTACCAATATGCCACCCAGGATGGGGAATGTGACACATTGAATAAGGCAGAACTGAAAGAACTTTTGGAAAATGAGTTTCAACAAATTCTGAAGGTAAGAACCCAGCTCAGGACTGAAAACAGCTACAATTCTCTTCTTCACTCCTTCCCAGCTTTTTGTCACATCTGTCAGACTCCTACAGGACTCTCTACTTGGTGATAGAGATTAGGGTTTGGTAAAGGCTTGAAATATGATCAAAAGTTGACCCACAATTGTTTCCATTAACAGGACCAAGGGAAGTGATCCTACTGAACAGATAAAATCCATAGGTTATATAATATCCTATCTATGTGATTCTTATGGAATAAAAAAAATTAGATAGTTCTCAGAAAAAGTAGATGAAATGCATCTTCTTCCCTTTGTCTTTCTTTATCCCAGAACATCCTGACTGACCTGACTGCCTATTTTTGAGATTCTGACACTATAAGGCCTCAGAGTTCAGAAAGTTAGCATCTTCCTCCTAAATCATAAAACATGGTGACCAACATCTTAAAATGTCAGCTCTGAAAATAAATATTTGGGAGCTTAGATCTAGCTCCTGATCATCAATTCATTATATCCAACTGCCTACTAAATATTTCTTATTTGGATTCCTATGGGTGTCTTAAATTCAGTATGTCAGATATGAAACTCATCATTTTCCCTCTAAACTTTCTCCTCTTCTGCCCAAGGCAGAAATCTGGTTCCATTCATAACTCATTCTCTCAGCAAGCACCTCCACCCTCCATATAATTCATCAACAGTCTCTCAAAACTGCCCATTTCTCTCCATCACTATTGCTAGTCCTTTGGCTCAGGCCACCTTCTACTCCCAATCTCAACCTTAAATGCAAATCTAATCATTTTATGGCACAATTCAAAATCCTTCAGCTTTTAAAATAAATAAAGTCTAAAGTTCCTTCACATAACTTAAAAGGCATGATCTTATCCCTATTTGTTTCTCTAGCAGTATCTCTTGACTACTGAGACTCAAATTTTAACAATCCATAATTTCTTCCTTGTATGAGCCATGTGTCCTCTAACCTCCAGCTCTGTTGTTCCCTCTGCCTGGAAAACTCGTGTCCCCTCTCCTTTCTTTCCTACCCCTTCATTTGGCCAAGTCCAACTAATACTTCAAAAGACATTACTTCCTCTCATTAACCTTCCTTAAACCCCCACTGGTTCCCCTCTGGTGTACTCTCTAAAACATTATCACAATACACTGTAATTTTAAGTTTGTGTGTCTGAGCCACTAAACTTTAATTTCCATTTTGGCAGAAAACAAACTTTTTCACTGCTTCATCCCCTGCAGCTAACTCAATGCTAAGCAGATAGTAGGTACAAAAAAATCTTTGTTTTGAATGAGTTAATGAATAACTGGGCAAATAAAGAAAAGTCACATATAATTATGTTAATCATTCATATTTAACCTATTGCTCACAAAATATAATCAATTTCCTTGTTCACTAACATCTTTCAGTTGCATCCACTTCTAGAAAATTCTCACTTCATTGCTTATTATGTATTTCTTTCTTTCTTTCTTTCTTTCTTTCTTTCTTTCTTTCTTTCTTT